GATGGCGGGCATCTTGTGAATCGCGCACTTCCTACCCGGTCCACCCTGGCAACACCACGACTCGGACGAGTACGAGTCCTTCTTCTCTTCCGTGACAAGATCGCCCTCTACCTTCACGGGGCGCCTCTCCCGCCTTCGAAGCACACCGCAAGACCAAGATTGCTGGATAAGCCGCTGAAACACATGCAGCGCCTCCGTCTCGACGGCCTCGGCGCCAATAATGCTCTTATCCCGGCTCTTATCCTCCTCGCACCGGCGCAGCAGCTCATCCATCATCGTCTGCCCGCTATTGATAAGCGCAAACGCCGCCTTACGATCACCGTGGAGCACCTCGAAGCAGACAAAGAGCAGGCAGCAGACGATGGCGGCCCGGAGACTGCTGCTGCTGTTGGTCTCGTCGCGGGGCGCAGCGACGGCCTTGTGGACCTCGCGGATGGCGCGGCCGTAGTACGAGAGGGCGAGGCCGTAGTGGGGCCCGTTTGCGCCGAGCTGGGCGGGCGTGGTCGGCTTCAGGCTGTGGTGGAGGGCTTTACCGATGCCGCCGACGGCCATGGCGGCGTACCGGACCGAGGCGTGCTGGTGGCTCATCTGCGGGATGGTCTCGGCCCATAGCTGCTCGTCGAAGAAGCCGCCGCCGAGGCGGTAGCGGCGGGAGAGCCAGTAGTCAAAGTATTGGCGTTCAAAGACGTTGACGAAGAGGTTCTCTGTGGGTTCGAGTGGTAGGCTGATGTCGATAAGTTGAGATTGCGATCTGGGGCGGGCGTTTGCGACGAGCGGCTTCTTCTTGGAGACGCGAGCGACGGAGGAGGAGGAGGATGATGATGATTTTGTTGAGGATGATGATGCTGTCTTGTTGGTGTTATCTGCGTCGTCTGAGCTAGGGGGCGAGGCCGAAGAGCTATTGGGAGAGTCGTATCCTTCACAGAACCCTCGCCATTTCACGCATCGCTGGCATGAGGGCTTCACTTCATCGCACTTTACGTGTCGGCGCCTGGGACCACAAGGCGTGAGAAGCTATTCCTGCATTCTCTCTATCTCTCTCACTCCGAGGAGGAATACTCACTTGCCTGTGATGATGTTTTGATTAGCTACTATTAGAATATAGAAGAGAAGTCTTTCAAAACATGGACTATGGTGAGACCGGCTTACAAGTAATGCATCCCGTCCGGACCTTGTTGGCACTCGCCCGAGTCGCCCGTGGCCTTTTCTGTAAAGCAAACGTGAGAATCTGCGGCCTGTCATTGTTGCCTCCATTCCTGCTACAAATCAGAAAATCAAAAAATGTCAGCGCCCGATGTCCTGTCCTCTCTCGTTTGCCACCAACCAGATCTGTGTGTTCGCCGCCCTGCATGTCGGGATGGGGGTGGGATCATACTTGGGGGCCGTTGGGTGTCCCGCTGGTTCGGTCCATGCCACACCAGGTGTCTGGGGCATCAGGAAGTTGATTTGGGTTCCGCCGTAGGTGCACGCAGACGAAGTCATTGTGGTTCGTTTTGTTCCTACTTTTCGAGAATAGAGAAGAAGAGATTTGCGAATCTTGGAAATTTGCTTTTGGTAGGGCGAAACTCCCGTCTTTAAGAGTGAATTCCATACTATTAACAAGAACTTTCCAAGGGAAAAGAAGAGGTTTGGGGGCCGGAAATGGCCCCCAACACATATTACAACAAGGTTGAAAATTGTCCCTCTTCCATGTACCACAAGGACTTGCGCACCACCACCACCCCCATTCCTTCGCGTCTTTCGATTTGATCAGCCTTCTCGGAGTCAGATTCCCAAACAAGAGAAGCGCCCGTTAAGGCGGCACGATCAGAGACCTTGGATTGGGTGCAGCCGGCGCTACTTCTGACGCCAGGGGATAGCAAAGGGACCACCAAGGGTGGGAAAGGGGGGTAACCACAGCCGAGTTACTGGCACACGGGACACACCCGGGATCCCGTCCAGAAGCCAACTGCCAGCCTTACCCGCCCTGCCTAATTCAAACATACCCACTTAGTCCGAGGTCCTACTGACGTGCCTGTCCAACGTCGTCCGAGAAGTGCGAGGACTGGACCGGGGGGAAAGAGACATTGTATGCAACCTGCATATCAAGTGTGTGTCTGGGGATCAGTCGTGAACTCTCTCACTGGTTCGCCTGTCAGCATAGAGGTGTGGTCTGTACGCCACACCCTCCCTGCGTTGGAGCCAAAGATTCGATGGCGAGTCTACCGCGATCTTGGGTGGTCGATGACGACGGTGAGGCCTCTGGAGAAGTCTATGTCGATGTGCCACGATGATTCACACTCAGCCCTAAAGAGCGGACTCTATGATGTCCGCTGCAGGCGGTGCAGCGTCTCTTATGCAGGAGTCCAGGAGAAGATACTGCCATTGCGAACCAATCTCGAGATCGCATCATAACTCTCATCATGTGAGGTGTCTGCTACGCCTTCATTCTTCGTACCATCCTAGGCAGCGTTGTCATCGCGACTACCAATAGACGTTTCAGAAAGACATAGATGAGTCGAGGTGACGGAAGCTCATGATACCCTTCTGCCTTGTCAGTCATGAGCATGTACTTTACGACCGAAGAAGATTGGTTGGAAAGAGAGTCTCGTTATTGATTCCAAAGAAATAACCCGACGTCACTGCATACGTCTCAGCCAATCGTGATCTTCACCAGCGGGACTTTCTCGCAAAAACAAGAGCGCTCTAGGGACCCTGCCTGGCCTGCCACGCATTCGCGATCTTGGCGACGCCGTTCGCAGAGTTCTTGTGCGACACCAGACCTACTGTACCCTGAGCATCCGGGACCTTGGCGACTGATCTACAGGCGACTATCGATTGAAGACGGATACCTATCTCAACGGCTGCCAGTCGCTCGATGAGGATATTCTTCCAACCTCGCCTGGCAGATCATACCCACCCAGCATCCCAATCAATAGCGATCCAAAGGCGCCTGACAGGTACACACACATATATGAATGCAGCCCAGGTAATAGGATCGGGTAACACATCCAACACTTCCAATGCAGAGCTTCCTTGGCCTTGATCACAAAGTTCCTTAGAATCTCAAGAATCAGGACCAACATGGCGAGCCAGGGTCTCTTCGAAACCGCGAAACCCCTTGCAATCCCACCATGCGTGGTAAGGCTAGTCAAAAAGTCACTCCCACCACAGCACAACCGGAACGATAATAAGCTCTAGCAGGGGAGGGGGGGGTTTAATGTACGGGCCAAAAAAGCAAATCAGCAACAGCGCAAAAGTGCGTTGTACCGGAACGGCCGAGACTGGTGCAGGAGGAGACCAAACCTCTTTGAGCCAGCCGATCTGCCGTCCTACGGGCCTGCTTACGCCAAGCCCTTCCGGCCCACGAGACTCTCGAAACTCAACCGAAGAGTCGACAAGACTTTTGCAGCTTTTGCAGCTTTCTCGTAGAATAGCCATAGAGCGAACTGATTCATTCATCTTGATAACATCATTTCCTGGCCTTGTTTTGGATTCTCGTGTGTACGATACAGTGGGTGAGCAAGTGTGTCGTGGCTCTCTTATGCATGCTTTTGGTGTCGGTCGCTCGAATGCGCTTATTGCTACAATCACACTAGCACGATATTGACAACGACTTTGAACTTCACGTGTATGTAAGCTTGGTCCGGAACAACGGGCACCGTTGCCGCCCCGTTTGGAAACCATGAGCCCCGAAGTCTTAGTCCATTGCCCTTTCGCTACTATCAAGCCAAACCCCTATGTAGCTGGAACCCCATGTCGTAAACATATCGTGGAATGCAGATGCATGGGCGGATTGCGGCGCAGTACAGCGGCGACTCCGTTATCGGTACGTGAACACGAAAAAACGCGGGGGATAAGGGCTGTGTGTGTACTACGAGGTCATGTATGTAGGCGTACGGGATATGCGTGTCCGTAAGGTGTGTGTGGATGTGCGGTGTATGGTGTGACGTCTGACTACACACTTTACCGACGTACGGCTGACAAGCCTCACTTCCCGGCTGACCAACATCGCGTATGGTGGATACACCTACGTGCAGGAGGGACCCGACGAGGGCCAACTACGCAAGTTGTTTGAGCGAGACTGCACTTAGTCAAGCAAAGTCAAAATTGGCAACGATCTTGGTCATGACCGCCGGAAACCTGGGGTTCGAAGCCCGCCAGAGCAGCGATAACGGGGAGGAGGGTGGGATCGACTGCTCGAGACCACCTCGTGTACTGTGTAGTCTGGTGGTCAGCTTATCGATAATCTGGACATCTTTGCCTTGACGTCGGTCAAAGTTCAGGCTAGCTCATTTCAATGACTTGAGCTCTCCTCTCGCCCTTCTTGGATGGGCTGACAGGGGTTGGGCAACTTTGGAATGACGTTCTTGTACCGGGCCCGACCTTCCGAGATGGAAAATGATGTGGAATCACCCGATGGAGGGCGTTGGGTTCAGTCAGATAAACAACTACCCTGCAGACACCAGCGTCCGACGGTCGTGGCTAGTGTTGATAGAGGAGGCCTCGTATGAGACGTAAGAAGAGCCCCTCCTTGTGATGCCTGACTGGAAGGTCTACAAGGAAACAGACGCATACTTACTTGCACACCCGCTGCGGACTGCTTGCTCCCCATAGCATCAAGAGAGATCTTCCATCATCATCTCCTAGCAGAAGATAGCTTAGGTCCGATGATAACCTCATTTCGTGGCAGGATAGCTAACTTGCCCACGGAGAAAAGCTCGTGGAAGACTTATCCCTTGTGATTTGGGTCACTGGACCATAGGTAGCTTGATTGCGATTCAAACTGCTTCCTGCATGGCTTTGATGACAGAATGTCAGGTCTCCCCTGGCCAAAATGGTAACGTATCTACTAGCTTGTCTGGCTTGATCAATTTTACACACACGGGGAGATTGATGTTTTGAGTCTTCGGAAACGTTTCCGTAGTTCCATTATTAAGACTAATGCTACACAACCTCTATCTTCAGGCGCGCGAATGGCGGCAATGTGGTGGTACACCCGACTCCAATGTCTGTGTCGATCATGAGAACCAATCCTTGACCTTCCCGCCAAATGTCGTCGGCTTGGCCTTCTCTGGGGCCCACTCTGACTCGTGAAGACGGCCAGACCAGAGATCGATCTCGTGAGCGCGGACGAACTAAACATAGTCAGTGGACAGCGCTTCAACTTGTGTGAACGAAGAGGAAAACATACCTTGGTCTTATGAACAATCTTCCACACGATGATGGGCACGATGAAGATGGGGATGCCGATATACGATGAGATAAAGTCCGAGGTCGACCAGTTACCAGCAAGGAAGACGGAGAAGCCAGCTACGAAGACGATAATGGTCGATCCAATGAAGCCGAACCAGGCAGCGAACGGCTGGAAAGGTGCCTTCCAGGGCAAAGTATCACGGCTGACACCTTGCACCTTCATCGCCTTGTGGAAGCGGATGTAGCTGAAGCAAAGCGTGGCCCACGCGATCAACCCAGCAACGGTACTCAAACTCAGCAACCAGTTGAACGCATCAGCGGCACCGCCAGAGCCGAGACTGAGATACGCCAACGGGCCAAACAACCACGCGGTGATAACAGCAACGTACGGCACGCCGTGCTTGGTCGTGCGGCCGAAGAACTGCGGCAGCTGGCGGTCCGTCGTCATGGCGACGATCATGCGGGAGCCGACCCAGCAGTACGAGTTACCCGCGCTCCAGGCGCTGACGAGGATGCAGGCGTTGACGATGGAGGGGAGGATGTTGATGCCGGCTTGGCGAATGGCGATGACCCAGGGGGAGGAGTTTGCGTTGCCCGAGTCGGAGACGAGGCCTTCTTCGCGGGGGTCGACGATGAGGGAGATGAGGAGGGCGCCGAGGACGTAGAAGAAGCCGATGCGCCATGTTACGCGGCGGGCGGCGTTGGGGATGGCTTTGTGGGGGTTGATTGATTCTGCGGCGCTGATGACGACTGTCTCGACCTGTTTTTGGTGTCAGTTTTTGTTCGCGAATCTTCTAGCTTCTCTGACTCTCTTCTCTTGAGGGGGAAAAGAGAGAGACTGCGGCAGGGGATAACATACACCAATGAAGGAGAAGGACGCGTTCACAAAGGCAGCGAGGAAGCCCAGGAAGTGACCAGTCGAGCCGGTGATGCCGTTGTAATCAACCCAGGCACCCGGGTTATTCCAGTACCGGAAGCCAATGGCCTCGTGGTTGGGACCTCCGCCGGCGGTAATGATGATGGAGGTGAAGACTAGGCCGATGAAGCAGAGGACCTTGATGGAGCCGCCCACGACCTCGGTCTCGCCGTACCAGCGCACGCTGAGCAGATTACAGAAGAGGATAAGGGCGAGGGATATCGTGATGACGACCGCGGGCGTTATGTCTGTCCAGTACGATACCAGAATCGCAGCCGCCGAGGCTTCTGCGCCGATGGAGATTGTGTAGCAGTAGCCGTAGGAGATTGCGAGGGAGAAGCCGACGGCCGGGTCGATGAAGCGGGTTGCCCAGTGAGGGAATGAACCGGCGGTGGGAATCTGTAAGTAAGAGTCAATTTGCCGTTACGCGTCATAACTGTGAGAGAGCGTCTGCTTTTGTCACGTACCAGCGTCGCAAGTTCTCCAATACTCTGCATCACACACCACAAAACGGCACCGACGATAATGTAGGCGAGCAGAAGACCAGCCGGGCCGGCCTTGGCGTAGGCCGAGCCCGTTCCGATGAAGAGACCAGTTCCGATACCACTGCAGAAACCAATCATGGTGACCTGATAGTCGCGAAGACGGCGCTGGGTGCGGCCGTGGCCGCCGACGTTGAGCTGAGGCTCCAGGATGGCAGCCTTGTCGTCGTGGTGGTCGTGGTGGTCCTCGGCACCAGACTTCTCAATGTCGCGGACCACATCGTCGTCGGCGGCGGGCCCGATGGACCGGGGCCGGGAGGAATCGTACGCCGTCATGGCTGAATATCCTGTTTCTCAAGGACAGTGACTGAAGCCGGCGATTGTTCCGTTGGGGCTAGATGCCTATGTTTGTTCGAAACTTGAAGGAATGAACAGTCGAAAGGTTGTCCAGATGGAACGGACTCTAAGACGTGGAGGGGCCCATATCCAGATTATATGAAATACCTAGCGGGAGTCAATCCCATCTGCAAGATTTTTTTCGCATCCCTAGGGCGAGACCGGAGGACTGGGCACTAGACAATGGCATCATCGGGCTAGTTCGCGGGGCGTTCCTGGGTAGTGTGGGGGCATGAGGGGCGAAGATGAGAGCTTGCAGCAGATCGTGAAGCTGGGCGCTCTCACCGAGCTTGGCCGCGCTTCACCTCTTCACCTCGGTCTGCTTTCGGTCTGGATGTAGTCTTCTGCCACGGTGATACGATGACCACATGCTGTGAGGGTCTTGATGGCACTTCAAACGTGTCGCATTTGACACAACGCATCAACAAGCATAGACACGAAGCTTCAGAAGCTATCCCATCTCCGGTCTCGCAGAAAAGCTTTGAGAAATGGAGCGATGGCAATTCTAGGTACGTAAAAATTCTTCCCAAGTTGGCCGAGGCGGGCGGGTCCGGGGTCGCGGAGGACGCGGTGCTGTGGGCCCCATTCAATTTGCGCCGGCGGTACGGAGGTACAAAGCGCGGTGGCGCGGTATGTGGCGGGCCCGATTCCACTCATTTCAGCACCCATTAGACTTGTGAGTGGCTAGAAGCGCCGGTTGCAATCTGCGAACAGGGAGGCGAACGCATGAGTCGTTCATCTGAAAATCTTCTACAATTCTTCTGGAAGAATAGCGAGAAAAAAACTTGCGCCGAGCTAGTAATGCCCGTGACAAAGGGCACTTGCAAGAAAGGGTCCATCCCCACGTGCTGCCTCCCGAGGGACCTGGCCAAGACGGGATCTTACCTGCAAGACCGGGAGAGGGACGAGGGGTTCTCGATAATGATGGGAACTGATAGCATAGTTGATAGGAAGCCCTGGCGTCCCTCTGCGTCACACAGATCGATGTAAGTGGAGGTCCAAATTGAACAACATCTTCAAGATCTACCAAACGGTGGGAAACCTGCCAAATACCGCGTCGCGGCAACCGATCCGGGTATGGCATTCTAAAAACGCAACCGCCGTAAGTCAAATACTCCGAAATTCTGCCCACTTCTCAATGACCGCCTCGAATTGCGCGATCCGGAAACCCCGAACCAGACTACTGCGTACGCAACCACAAACCACACACTGATTCTTTCTTTCTAATCACCGGCGCATCAGATCAGGGCAGAGTTACCTCGCACTTGTGCCCGGCAGGGCTGATCATGAAGAAATTCTCCATCTCCATCATCTCATCCGTCATCCCGCGCGCCATCTTCAGACCCCTGCACTCCCGAAAGAGCACGGCCACACCTAGTCTAAGTTCCATTCTCGCGAGCTCTACGCCTAGGCAGATCCGCGAGCCCGCGCCCCATGGCGAGAAGAGAAGTTTCTGGTTCGGCGTGAGTTTGGTTTGGTCCATGAATCGTGTCTCGTCAAAGCTTCTGTCACGTCAGCTGGTTGCTTCTTTTCGACGCCATTCCGTCGCAACACCATATTCGTAAAGTAATCAGTGAGAGCCTTACCGTAGGGGATCCGGCCACACCTCCGGCCCCCGGTGAAGCGTGTACGCCTGCGTCTCCACCGTCACGCCGCCGGGGACAAAGTAGCCCCCAAGCGTGGCGCCGCCCGCCGGCACCGACCTCGACAGTTGTCCCGGGACAGCGCCGTATAGCCTCAACGTCTCGTCAATCACGGCGTTGAGCAGCGGAAGCTTTTCAAGCCCATGATCGTCGAAATCGAGGGTCAACCCCGCGACCTCATCTTCCAATTTGACCCTCAACTCAGGTCGCGTTATGACCGCCCAAACTAGGTACGCCAGCGTGATGGAAGTTGTGTCCGAGCCGCCAATGATCATGCTCCGGCTTTCTCTCTGCACCATTTCTTCCGTTAACTTCGCATTGCCGCCCTTCTCTTTTGCTTCTTTGCTGCTGGTATCGTCTGCGTCGAGAGCATTCAGCAAGGTCGCGAACAGAGTCCTGTTGCGATCGCTGTTCTGGCGGAGGCTCTCAAGCGCGCGATTACCGTAGCTGTCAAGGACGGCTTGTGCGTCGACGAGATCTGTCGAGAATTTGAGGATTGGCACGTGAGAGCGGATGAAGTGCAGCCAGGGCAGCTCATAACGCGTGATGTTTTGGACCGATATAAGCTCCAGCATCTTCATGTAGTCGTTTTTCTTTCATCTTGTCGTTAGTGTACTGGCCAGCAAAACGTAGGAGGGAATTGAGTAACATCATACCTCGCCCAGTTCGAGCATATTGAAAGACTCCCCAAAGCACAAATGAGCCACGACATCAGTCGCCATCATGGTGAACCACTTCAAGACATCCGAGCACCCACCCCGCTCAGCCTCTGCACGTATCTTGCCTACCGCTGCATTCACCTTCTCTCTAACGACGCCCTCCCACTCTTCCCTGAGCGAAGCCTTCGCAAAGACCCTGCCGAGTAGTCTCCTGCGGATAGCATGTTTCCTCGGATCACGCATCGCAAAAATACTCGGCTCGCCCCCGTCAGGCGAGTTAGACTCCTCGTACCACGGCGCCTTGAGGAAGCCGCCCCCGATGCGGTGGATTGCGGTAAAGCCAGCTGGGTCTGCGACGGCTACTTCGTGGGGAGAGATGCGAACGATAGGGCCGTGGCTGGCGTGCAGCGCGTGGACATAGTACATCCGGCGGCCAGTGAGGACGTGGTATTTGAGAGGTAGGTGGGTGAGGAGAGTATGCCATGGGCCTGGGATATGTCGGAGGGGATTGATGAAGGCTGTGTGGATTGTCTGGATGAATTAGTTGCTGGGCACCAAATGAAGATAGCACAGCATTTCTTGCAAGATCATCGTAGGATAGAGGCTCTACTGATTGGATAGGCATCTATCCGCTGCCTGTTATTTGAAGACAATGCTTACATAGGTAATGAGGATTAGAATTAAACCTATGGCAGCATAACCCATTCCAACATGGTTCGTGAGGTCTGTGGATAGCATCATTATAATGTGTGCAGAGCTCTTCATGCACGGAACTGACTGGAGGAGGCAAAGGGAGTTTGGGTAGATGATAGAGATTGGGCTCACACAATCATGTTATCCTAGAACGTCGCGGAAGATGAGAATGCGAGTGGAGGATTAGAGTGCTTTTCAAGGCATCCCTTCTCAGCTTTTGACTTTTTTCGCTATCGTTCTCGCTCACTGTTCCGCCGAAACTTTGACTAAAAAAGAGAGGAGGAACAAAACAACCTGTGATGAAGTAATCTTCCCCTCAGTGTCTGGTTTCGATGAAAGCATAAAGTGAGCACGTAAGAAAGCGGGATATCATTCAAAGTTTGAACCTTGCCATGAATGTCCAATCTGCTGTTAGGGGTCCAATATTTGAGTTGGAAGTACTACTCTGGAGTTTTGCATACTACGCCAATATCACTAATCAAGTCATCCCCGACTTGGATTTATCGAAATAAGATATCTAATCATATGCTCGAGAAAAGCAATGGTCAGTTGACTTCTTGTTCATTACAACACAATTCTGGCTGCGGAGGCTTGAATTCTCTCTGGATTGACGGGCATCGGAAATACTTGGTAACCAGATAGTTTACGTCACCCGACTCAATTGGCACCGAGAATGAAGTGAAGTCCAACAAAGCTAATCAGAGCCCAGTGTTGCTGCCTATATATGCAGCCGACTATTTTGAGGAAAGGGAAAATTTTACACCGATCTCTACATCTATAGAGTGTGGGATGAGGTGTAAATCTAACACCCCGCCAGGCTGCCATACGCCTGCTCAGGTCTGCCAGTGAAACTCGAGCTAAGTTTGCATCTCCCACGATGAGAGATACGCTCAAGGAATATCCTGTATCTTGTTTTGTGAACCCCTCAAAGGCGCCGAGACCCGCTACCCTCCTCAAGATCCCGAGCTTCCATTTCTGGCTCATGGCCATCGCTAAGTGGTGTATACTCGGAAACGGTAGACGAGAAGAAGCCCGTCTTGGAGACACTACGGCAGTGAGGACATTCGCAGCTGCGACTGACGAGAAAATGAAGAGCCTGCGGTAGGACAATGTACAAATGGACGCCCCTAAAGAAAATTGTCAGCCTTGAGAAGCTCGGTCAACTCCGAGACAAGAGGAATACTCACAAGTCAAACATCATGAATACAGTGCAATACGTTCCCAGCACAATGAGTGGCTCATGCCACGGATCCGTCAGGAGAATCCAACTCGGGATCAGGAACGAGAGGTGGAAGACCGCGAGGAGGCAGTCGGCCCAGAAGATATTGGATTCGGAGAGGGCTTGGATCGGTGAGCCGAGCGCGGCGACGGCATCGCGGTTGAGGACGAAGAGGCCAAGGAGGGCCGAGGCGGCGAGTGGAAGGAGACCCAAGGCCGGGAAGGCTCGCTCGGATGCTATCCCGTGGGCGATGAGGAGGATCAAGGCTGGTGGGAAGGCAATTATCTCGAGACGCCGGAGGGTGACGATTCTGGCTGCTGAGGACATTTTGGCTTTAGTGATGTATGTGTTTGGTTGTTGTTGCTTGCTTTGATCGTTTCACGGGATGAAGATCCTAGACCAAAATTTGAGGATTGGATTCTTGCGTATACGAGTAGACTTATATTAAGATCAGATCCTTAAGGTGGTGCCTAAAACCTGTCCTCATCTGGAGTGACAAGAGAGATGTTACATGCACGTATCAAGCCAAGTGCAAAGCCACACACAACCAACGGCCTGGAATAGTAATCTTGGTGTGGTACAAGAAGATCTCATAGGTCCAGCGTCCAAAAAAGTGTCAAGCCACAGGGCTGAAAAACATCCCGGGATCCTAAATTGGGGAAGATGGGATGCCTGGACTGTCGATCTGCATGGGTCCAAATCCTTCCTAGGCAAACTAACGTGCTT